AGAGCCTTCTTTTTGGAAACGTTCGTAAGCACAGCCCCATCTCCAGATTGATGCTCTAGATGAGTCTGCTGACTGATGCTGTGGAGGAAGCCCCACAGACTGCTTTGGCATCCTGGAATATGTGTCTGCTTCCCTAGATGTCTCCAGCATTCATATCCTCCCTTCATATCCCTGCCACAGGGCTTAAATCGCTAACTCGTCAACCACAGCACAAATAAGATAAAACAGGAGGGAAAGTGTAAATGAGGAAATGGAAAGATTTACTCTATCAAAATGCTCACTGTGGCAGAGCAGAATGGTGGAGGGGTAATTTATTGTAATCCCTGTGGGCTTTGTTGGTGGTTGTTATGGTTTGAGTTATTGAATGTCTCCCAAGTGTATGTATGTGAACATTTGGTTTCCAGCTGGTGGCACTGTTTTGGGAAGTTCTGAAGTCTTTGGGACCTGTGACATAGGCACTGTACTAGCCCTTTGAAGCGTGCAGTCCAGCCCTGTTTCTGGTCTCATTCTCTCTGCTTCTATTAAGATGTAAACAATTGGTGGCGCAAGATCCAGCTTCTACCACCAAGCTGTCCCCGGCATGTGGACCTTCATTACTCAAGGCTGGGATCACAGTTTTGTGCCATCACAGCTGCCTAAAGGACACCCCCTGCTGGTTCTGTTTCTTTGGGTTATTTAACCTTCTCAGTACATTTGGGATAATAACTCATAGTAATTATCAGTATTTATTGAGACCTATGTTTCTGATGCTGTTTAACATACTGCATTCACATTAACTCATTAAATCCTCTCAACAGTTCTGGGAGGGTACTATGGGGGCCCCTTTTGCAGGAGAAGAGACTGAGGCACAGATATGATATTTCCACCAGCCTGGAGCAAACTTCTCATTGAGCCAGGGAGAGAGTACAGGGAAGATCCACATGGTGGGGACAGCATGGTGGTTGAAGCAATAGCTTGTGGTAACACTTGTTCACACCTTAGCAGATCAAGGAGGGAACCAACTCCTGCAAGTTGTCTTCCCCATGCTGTCCACACACTTGCACATAGATATAAATAAATAAACATGACACAAGAACACATATGTGCGCATGCATGCACGTGTGTGCGAGAGAGAGAGCATTCAGATGTGACTTAGCGTCATAAGCAGGTGTCCCTCCTCAGTGCTCCTCTCCTCTAACATCCAGAAGTGATGAGAGGGCCCAGTCCATCAGGGGTCTCAAGACCTTCTTCATTCTCTGCTTTCTCCCCAGAAGGCTAGGCACACAACAGCACTTACAGGAAGACCGAGGAAGAGAAAATGATAATGTGACCATACCCCAAACATAAAGAATTATGCTTTATATTTCAATGACCAGGTATCTGCTCTTGGTTCTGTCACCCTTGGAGCTGCCCAATGTCAGTGTTGCCCAATGCCTACATGGTTCATGACATCTGGGAGCATTGTCCCTATAAAAGGAGCCAGACCTTGGGTTGGGCTTTCTCATTGCCTTGAATTCCTTACTCTCTCTGGTCCCTCCTGGATCCCTGGGCCAGCATCTGAGTTTCCTGTTGAACTGTGAGTCTGATGACTGTGATCTGTGATGTTTCCTTCTTGATTTTCTGAGAATGGACTCTCACTTGAGTTTCAGTTGCCTTTTTGTTTTTCCCTTGAGGAATCAAACCTGTCTAATTTAGTTCACAAGAAAGTGAATTGGGAAGGAAAATATCATGGGAGTGAATATGCTTCCCTGCTTTTGCTGGGACTCCAGTGGTCTGTTCTCACTTTTTCCAAGTACTTAGCCACTCAGGACAGGGTTTTAAGGTGTGATGTGTGTGTGTGTGTGTGTGTGTGTGTGTGTGTGTGTGTGTGCATGCGCATGTGCATGGTGCAGTCTCCCTTTAGCACCACAAGGGAGGTGCTTCAAAACCTCACTTTATGGATGGAGAAAATGATGCTCATGTGGGAATGTTGTACAGGACTATCCTGCAAATGGAAGTGCCACCATATTTATGAATTCAGTCATGCCTGCTTGCAAAAAGATCATCACAGCTTGTTGACTATTGATGGTCCCTTACAGAAAAAGGGGTAGGGAGGATCATGGGATTGTCACCTAAATAGCCAGCTAGTTCTCCCAACTAGTTGTAATCAATTCTGCTCTGATTGCATATGGCCTCAGGGATGGGTTAGAAGTATATGGGGTGGGAAGAACTAGGCATGGGTCCGGTCTGTGTAGTCATGGGGAGTCATCATCCATGCTGGAGGAGAACCAGTATGGCTACTTTAAGGTCACCTCATTGCTCTGTAAGTAACCTTGGGAAACTCATTGTTTCTCCCGAGTGAACTTTGATGGGATCTTGCCTTAGTTTGTGTTTGGAATGTTAGGAGGAATAGACATTGTTCACTTCTCCTGCAGGGAAGGAATTTTAGCAAGGCAATCAAGGCAAGAAATGAAGGAGGAAGTTAATTAGAGTGTGGGATGGGGAGACACGAAGTGGGGTGGGGTGGGGGGCAGAACATGATGGTGCTTGAATGCCCAGCTTGGAGTTTGATCTCTTCTTGGAGGTGGTGAAGGCTGCTGGAATTTCTAGGTAGGGAGTGTTGGAAAGACGATGGTTCTGTGGATGAGGGGCTGTGGGCTATGACTAGGTTGGATCCCAGGGTGTCAGGAAGTAAGGAAGGGTGAAGAGATAAGGGCATCTGGTGGTGGGTGGGAGGGGCTAGAGGAGCTGCTGGCTTGAGGGGAGAGGTAGGACAAGTTGAGGAGATGAGTACACTTGCAGGTCATTGCAAAGGAAGATGGAGGTGTGGAAATTAAGCTAGGGGAGGATACCCTACTGAAGCAGCATCTTAGATGTGGGGACTGGGACCAGGTGAGCAAGGAGGGGAGGGCTGAGGCATTCTTTGACTTGGACAGTAAGGGGAACCAGCCTGCATGTTTGAGTTCAAACATAAAGACTTGGCTTGTGGTGCTCTGATTACAGTTTGGTTCTAGTATCATAGCACACCCCACCCTCAACCTCTGTGACATCAGCAACCAACGGGGAAGTCAAATGGCATGGGACCCTAGGCTGTCCATGATCTTATGACTTTTAGAAGAAACTAGCATCAAAGATGCAAGCTTACTGTTGAATGCTCGATGACATGGCAAGGTAAAGAACCTTACTGAGCAATATGGACCACTGCCCACTGCATGCTGAAAGCATCCACTCAGTGGTTCTGCATTACTTTCAACTTCTGTGGCTCCGTTCCTTATGTGATAACTAGCACCATGCTGGCTGTATTTATTTCAGACCCTTTCCAAGTTCTAATAATTAGGTTTTTGGCCATTAAGCCAGACCTCAGCAGGAATATGTTAGCGTGCTTATTTATATCTCACTGGACACATACATTCTCTTGTAACTAAGGTCTATGGTCCCCCAAAGTATCAGTGTGGAAACTTGAATTGACCCATCTATTTCTCAGCCTGTCTTCATGAAGGTCGTCCCCGAACTAGGTTGCCTCTCTGTTACCCCCTCCCCACCAGCTCATGGTTCTTTTATCATTTGGATTTTAGAGGATCAGGACCACAATTAGAGTGTTGGGATTGCTCTGTGAGAGGAGATGAGGTCGTGAGGAAGGACCTTCCAGCTGAGGGCTCAACATGTCCTGATCCCTGTGGGGGAACTCTGCTCTGTAGCTAACATGGGATTGGAGGCTGATGGCTTTCAGACCAAGATTTCCAAATATGGAGACTGTGCAGTGTATCTCACTTGAGAAAAATAATTACGGCAACCGTTGGAGGTTGGTTGCAGGAGGAGAGGCAAGCAGGCAACAGTCTGAGTGTAAGTAGTATCCATACCCTCATTTAGGAATCAGCTCTGACCAGGGCCATCATTTCAGAGCCCAGTGCAAAGAGTTGGAGCATGTAGTTAGAAGATTAACTACAATGGAATGATACTTGGCTGTATAAAATTGTAAAGTACTAATGTATGCTACATTGTGGGTAAATGTTAGAAACATTCTCTTGGGCTGTGGCTCAGCAGGTAAAGGCACATACATCCTAGCCTGGCAACCTGAGTTCAAACCTTAAATCCCATGATTGAAGGAGAGAACTGACCCCTGAAGAAGTCGTTTAACTTCTACATGAGCATCATGGTGGCATAAACATCCCCTTCCCTACAAATATAAATAAATAAATGTAAAAAAATCACCCCCTAATTATGTTATGTGAAGGAAGACAATCACAAAAGGTTACATATTCTATGACTCACTCATAAGAAATATCCAGAATATAGAAATCCACAGAGACACGTGCCGGGAGGTGGTGGCACACGCCTTTAATCCCAGCACTCTGGAGGCAAAGGCTGGCGGATCGCTGTGAGTTCAAGACCAGCCTGGTCTACAAGAGCTAGTTTCAGGACAGCCTCCAAAGCCACAGAGAAACCCTGTCTCAAAAAACCAAAAACCAAAAACAAAAAAAAAAAAAGAAAAAAGAGAAAAGAAATCCATAAAGACAGAAGGCAGGTGAGTGATTGCCAGGGAGTGCAGGGTAGGGAAAGGGAGAATGGTCTTTTGATGGTTATGATATTTAAAAGCATGAGGTTTTCTTTTAGGGTAATAAAATGTTTTGGAAATCAACAAAAAATGAGGGCTAGAGAGATGGTTCAGTGGCTAAGAGCATTTATTACTCTCATAGAAGACTTGAGCGAGTTTGGGTCCCAGAACCCAATGTTGGGTGGCTAACAGCTACCTGTAACTCCAGTTCCAGGGAGATCTGATGCCTCTGACCTCTATGAGCATCTGCATTCATGTGCAGGGACCCGAACACAGACACATACACACATAGATGTAATTTAAAATAAAAAACCTTTTAAGGCAAATGGAAAAAGAGACCAACAAAAACAAATTGTGATTGAAAATGCCACAATGACCTAGTGCTGTAATTAAAAAGCTAACAAAACAAAACACCAGAAAGAGCTAGATAATGGAGTTAGATGATACATTTGCTAAATGCCACTCAACTGTTCATTTAAAAATGGCCAGACTTACCCGGCAAGGGGGGGGGGTACACACCACAACAATGAAGGTGGTTTTCCTGCTTTCTGTTGTGCTCGAAGTGTGCTGACCCCTGACATTTCTCCAAATTTGGGAAACTTGAATGTATTATTTATGGTAGTGGGGGACTACATTCATGATTTCTCTTACATGTATTGTTTTATTTTTAATTTATCATATATATATAATTTAAGTGGTCAGATTTATTTAGTAAATTTTTAGCAAAAATATATTTAATATATTAATATCATTAATTATTTCAGAACGGTAGCACGAGAGGATACTGAGCACAGTAGCGACTAACCAGGAACTTGGTTCCAGAGCCATCATGACTCTGAGAAACTCAGGCTGGTGCAGAAAAGGTAGAGGGATGAGGTCCCTGCAAGTTGACGGTGTTTCCTGGTGCATGCTGAGGGGTGGGTCCCTGATTTCTGAAGTCCCAGGACTCATGAGGCCTCAGAGACTTTCAATCCCAACCAGACAGGGCCCTTCTTCCCATCAGCTACCAGATGGAGAGGGCCTTATCCAAGGTCACGAGCTTCTTAGCTTGAGTCTCTGGATTCCCACTGGATTCCCATTCGTGTCTCCTCTCCAACCCTCTTTCAGGTCCTGCCACCTTCCTGTCGCCCTGTGTCTCATCCCCTCTGCCTGTGCAGCTGGGCCTTTGCAGGGTTCTCTGCACGACATGCCACCAGCCTCCTTTCCAGCAACAGTTCAGGTTCATGGAATCACAGTCACCCAGCTTGGATATGTGCTAATTATCCACACCTGTTCACAAATGCAGAGGCATGTAGGTTGGGGGAAGGTCTTGCCATCTCTAATTGTAAAGCGCCACAAGAGAGTGTGATGTCACTAAAGTGTGAGTCAGTGCAAAAGGCTTCTGCCCTCTGGGACCACCTAGCAATCTTCTAGTTGCACCAGCCTGAGGCAATGCTAATGGTGATACCATGTGGGCTTGCCTGGAGGAGACTGCTTAGCCTCCAGAATGCAGTCTGTTGCCAGATGTATCAGAAGGGTCACCCTATCCAGGCTGTTCCAGCTGCTCCCACTGCCACGACATAGCCTGTACATAAGCCAGACCCAAATCTCTCTCTCTCTCTTTCCCTCTTTCCCTCTCTCTCTCTCTCTCTCTCTCTCTCTCTCTCTCTCTCTCTCTCTCTCTCTCCCTCCCTCCCTCCCTCTCTCACATCTTCAGAAGTGTCCTCATCCTCACTGTGTTCTTCATACTTGTGATGGCTACTATTATCAACTTGACAGCATCTGGAATCTAGAAACACTCATGAGACAGACCTCTGGGCATGTCAGTGAGTGATTTTCTAGATTACGCTGAGGTAGAAAGACTGACCCTAAATGTGCGTGGCACCATGCTATCTGTTGGACTTCCAGACTGCATACAAAGGGGACAGTGAGCTGAGTGTTCATCTCTCTTAGCCTTCTGACTGCAGATGTAATGTGACTGGCTCCCACAGGCTCCTGCTGTGTCTTCCCCACCATCATGGACTGTGCCCTCACTCTGTGAGCCAATAATCCCCGCCCTCTGCTTAGGTTGCTTTAGTCAAGTCTGTTGTCACAGAAACGGGAAAAGTGACTATTATAATGCCCTTCAAGGGCGGTGAAGCTCCAATGCACGAGGCGAAGAGCCAGCTTCTTCTAAAAGCCTGTGTCCTGACACGGTTTGGAAGAGTTCGTATGTTTCAGATGAGCTGTGTTTTCAGATGTATGTGTGTGAGTGTGTGTGAGTGAGTGAGTGTGTGTGTGTGTGTGTGTGTGTGTGTGTGTGTGTGTGTGATCTCTTGGTTCACATTAGTGACTCAGACATTTTGGATGAGCACAACAAATTCCAGACTTACATGTCGTTAACCACCATCCTTACATTTCATCTAGTTCTAGTAGCAAAGCTGGCATTAACATGGGATTGCAGGACCGTAGGGCAGGCTTGAAGCTAAATTATCCAGTCCAAACTTCTGATGAGTCCATCAGAAAATTTGAGGCGCAGATGCAGATGCAGATGTTTCATCCTGATGGTCTCCTGGCTTGACAGAGTGTGTCTCTGACTGCAGCTGTTTACATTAAGGATTTTCAGTGCTTGGGACACTTGCGGACATGGCTGCTCCTGCTTGCTCCAGGGTTCCCCATCTCTGCTTCAGTAGGGCTAGGATTACAGGTGGCCCACTATGTCTGCCTGTTGCAGAGCTGTACTCAGGTCCTCACACGTGTGTGGCAAGCGCGTTACCCACTGAGCCACCTCTCACAGCCCCTCCCTCCTTCTGTAGGCATCTCATGTGAAGTCCTTTCCTGGCCTTTTTTTCCCTTTTGTTTTTGACACAGGGTCTCTCTACAAAGCCCAAGCTGACCTGGAACTTACTATGCAGCCCAGCCTGGCTTCCAACTTCACATACTTCTGCCTTTGCTTCCGAGTGCTCAGACTGTTGCTATGAGGCACCACACCCAGCTAGAAGTCTTTCATCTGTTCTTCTCTTGAGTGTGAGGCCTGCCAGTCACCACAGACTTACAGACACTTTGAGCACACTGATGTTCTCTGAGAGGGAGTGGGGCCTGCTCATACTGAACTAAGTCCTTCCCCATTCATGTGTCCCACCCCAAAATGTGAATATGTTTGGAGATGGGATTTTTAAAAAATTAAATTTGCAAAAGTAAAATGTAATTACATTTCCCCCTTCCCTGCCCTCCCTTTATCTCCTCCCATGTCCCTTCCCGCCAGCTCCTTCCATGCCCTCCAGCTCCTCTCAAATTGATATCTTCTTTTTTATTATTGTTGCTACATGTATATGGATAAGTATGTAAATATAATCTGCTGAGTGTGTTTACTGCGGCTTGTGTGTGTATGGTTTCAGGGCTGAACACTTTGTATAGGATAACCAACTAGGAGGCTCATCCCTGAAGTGGCTAATTCTCCCTCTCTCAGCAGTTACTACATGTCTATAATTCTTTGTGTAAAGTGGGACCCCATGAGATTTCCCCCTTCCATATTAGCATGTCTATTGATATTGACTGTGCAGGTCTTGTTTAGGCAGTCACATTGATGAGATTTGTGGGAGTAGCTTCACTATCATTCCTAGGACAATACAGTATCACCGCAGACGTCCTTGTCCTCCTGTTCTTGCAATCTTTCTGCCCCTCTTCCAAGATGTTCCCTGAGCCACAGGTGCAAGGGTTGTGTTACGGATGTATCTGTTGTAGCTGGGCTCCCCACGATCCATTGTTATCTATTGCATTATGACTTGTGGTTTTCTGTAACAGTCTCCTTTTTCTATAAAAGGAAGCTTCTCTGATGAGAGGTGAGAGCTCTACTTATGGAAATGCGACCTAAAGAAAAAAAAAAGTTGCTTAAGGCCAGGCAGTGGTGGTGCATGCCTTTAATCCCAGCACTTGGGGGATAGAGGCAGGTGCATCTCTGAGGATGAGGCCAGCCTGGTTTACAAAGTGAATTCCAGGACAGCCAGGACTGTTATACAGAGAAACCATATCTCGAAAAACCAACCCCCTAAAACAACAACAAAACCCCAACAAAACAAAACAACAACAAACTTATTAAAGTGAAATGAGGCTCAGTGAGTGGTTCTAGTGAATTGTGACTGGTGTCCTTATGAAGTAGATATCAGACAGAGGTGTGCATGTACATGGAGGAAGACAATGAATGGGTTCAGTAGAAAGGTGGCCATCCACAAGCCCAGGAAATGGTGTTCATAAGAAAACCACCTGCTAGATCTCGGACCTTGTTCATCCAGTCCTAGAATCACAAGAAGATGAAACTTTTATGAAGCCACTGGGTCTTTGGTTGCCCTAGTAACCTAATACTGGTTCTGTCCCAGGTGGTGGTCCCTCCTTTCTGGAGGGAGTTATTCTATGTGTCTACTGCACTCAGTGGCTAAGGACACAGAAGGTACCTCCAAAGCAGAAAGACAACTAGAATCCAGTTCCCAGCAGGCTGCCCCATGGGACAGCTCATGTCAGATGTTTGACAGTATCTGTCTGGAAAGATGGACCCTGATTTTCATGTCTCTTTGGCTGCTTCCCTCAACCATCTGGAGGTTTCTGTCCCTTTTGCCTTCTTTTAGTTTTAGTGTGTTTCTATGTGTGTGAATGTGTGCTTGTGTGTGTGGGGCTGCTAGACACATGTAGACAATTTAGAACTGGCTTTGCTCTTAAGTATATCTAGATGCTGGGATCCAGTGGGAGGTGATGGTTTCTGAGCCATCCCTGGTTGGGGCTGACTCAGAGTAGGGCCTGATCCCCAGAATACAGTTGGGAAGGATAGCCATGGTGGGCTTTGGAGGCTTCAAGTCTATTGCTCCTGAAGTGTGGCTTAGGGTCTCATGTGATTTTCTGGGGCCCACTTCTGTGAAATTCAGGGACTGAAGCTTACTGTTAGCTGGATGCCTGAGCAATCGTAGAAGAACAAAGAACAAAGTTCACCCCTTTCTGAGGGTTCAGCCCAGATGGTGCTTCAAGACAGGAATTGATTATACATGTTGAGAAAGGCCAGTGTAGAAAGCTGACACGGTCGCTGATTGGCTGGCCAAGGTTACTGGGAGCAAAGAAGACAGAAGAGAGGATGGCAAGTGTCTAGAAGGAAGGGTCCCAGGGTGGACCCTTATTACTGACAGCTGGCTTCCTTCTGGGCTCAATGCTAGAGGTCAAAAACCAGTTGTCTTAGCTACAGGGCACATTTTCTTAGAAGAGCAGAGGGCAGATGAATTAACACACGAGTGTGAAGTTTGGGGGATATGAAGGAAAGTGAGAGGTTCATACAGTCAGGGGGTGAAGGCTTGATCTACATGAGGCAGAGTGACTAACAGAAGGGAGTGAGGTGCAGGCATGTTCCATCGCTTTTCTGTCTCCGGCTGAACCATCCCCCTGAGCCCTCTGTGTCAGCTGTTGGTTCTAAAGAATAGCACTGGTAAGAATACTGTAATTATGTCAGCTCTGAGATCCTCTGGTGCAAGGCCCCAAGTTAAAGCCCAATATTGTATCATGGCCCAACATTGTGAAATAGCAAGAGCCTCAAAGATCCTTACTAAATTCTCCTCTCTGTTCTGTTCCTGCTTAGAGGGTTCCCCAAATAACAAACCTTCCTTACCCAGGGGACCCTGTATAATTCTTGTTTATCCCCAACAGCTCAGTTCTC